CCAGAGCTGCTGTACTTCCTATACTGTGTGTCTCTGCAGATCTGGCAGCTTCGTTAGTGGGTGATTCTCAGAGCTGCTGTACTTCCTATACTGTGTCTCAGCAGATATCTTGATCCTCAGAGCTGCTGTCTACTGTGTGTCTCTGCAGATCAGGGAAACTTCGTTGGTACAGAGCAAACCTCAGAGCTGCTGTACTTCCTTTACTGTGTGTCTCTGCAGATCAGGAAGCTCGTTGGTACAGGGTGATCCTCAGAGCTGCTGTACTTCCTATACTGTGTCTCAGCAGATCAGGAAACTCGTTGGTGGGGTGATCCTCAGAGCTGCTGTACTTCCTATACTGTGTGTCTCTGCAGATCAGGAAACTCGTTGGTACAGGGTGATCCTCAGAGCTGCTGTACTTCCTATACTATGTGTCTCTGCAGATCAGGAAACTCGTTGGTACAGGGGTTTCAGAGCTGCTGTACTTCCTATACAGATTCTACTGATCAGACTGTGTGTCTCTGCAGATCAGATACAGGGTGAGACTGTACTTGTGTCTCTGCAGATCAGGAAACTCATTGGTACAGGGTGATTTTCAGAGCTGCTGTACTTCCTATACTGTGTGTCTCTGCAGATCAGGAAACTCGTTGGTACAGGGTGATCCCCAGAGCTGCTGTACTTCCTATACTGTGTGTCTCTGCAGATCTGGAAACTCGTTGGTACAGGGTGATCCTCAGAGCTGCTGTACTTCCTATACTGTGTGTCTCAGCAGATCAGGAAACTCGTTGGTACAGGGTGATCCCCAGAGCTGCTGTACTTCCTATACTGTGTGTCTCTGCAGATCTGGAAACTCGTTGGTACAGGGTGATCCTCAGAGCTGCTGTACTTCCTTTACTGTGTGTCTCTGCAGATCAGGAAACTCGTTGGTACAGGGTGATCCCCAGAGCTGCTGTACTTCCTATACTGTGTGTCTCTGCAGATCTGGCAACTCGTTGGTACGGGGTGATTCTCAGAGCTGCTGTACTTCCTATACTGTGTGTCTCAGCAGATCAGGAAACTCGTTGGTACGGGGTGATCCTCAGAGCTGCTGTACTTCCTATACTGTGTGTCTCTGCAGATCAGGAAACTTGTTGGTACACAGTGATCCACAGGGCTGCTGTACTTCCTATACTGTGTGCCTCTGCAGATCTGGAAACTCGTTGGTACAGGGTGATCCTCAGAGCTGCTGTACTTCCTATACTGTGTATCTCTGCAGATCAGGGAAACTCGTTGGTCCATGGTGATTCTCAGAGCTGCTGTACTTCCTATACTGTGTGTCTCTGCAGATCAGGAAACTTGTTGGTACACAGTGATCCACAGGGCTGCTGTACTTCCTATACTGTGTGCCTCTGCAGATCTGGAAACTCGTTGGTACAGGGTGATCCTCAGAGCTGCTGTACTTCCTATACTGTGTGTCTCTGCAGATCAGGGAAACTCGTTGGTCCATGGTGATTCTCAGAGCTGCTGTACTTCCCATACTGTGTGTCTCTGCAGATCAGGGAAACTTGTTGGTACAGGGTGATCCTCAGAGCTGCTGTACTTCCTATACTGTGTGTCTCTGCAGATCAGGAAACTCGTTGGTACAGGGTGATCCTCAGAGCTGCTGTACTTCCTATACTGTGTGTCTCTGCAGATCAGGAAACGCGTTGGTACAGGGTGACCCTCAGAGCAGCTGTACTTCCTATACTGTGTCTCTGCAGATCAGGAAACGCGTTGGTACAGGGTGACCCTCAGAGCAGCTGTACTTCCTATACTGTGTGTCTCTCCAGATCAGGAAACTCGTTGGTACAGGGTGACCCTCAGAGCTGCTGTACTTCCTATACTGTGTACCTTCGGGGACCCTAAAGGGGCTGACCAGCTCTCTTCCCATGATTCCGGCCCAAAAAATGACTCCACCACCGCCTTGCTGACGTTGCAGCCTTGTTGGAACAGGGTGGCCATCCACCAACCATCCACTACTCCATCCATCCAGGGTTGCACGGCACTCATCAATGAACAGGACTGTTTGAAAATTAGTCTTCATGTATTTTTCTGTCCAATGCAGCCATTTCTGCTTGTGAGCATTGGTTAGTGGTGACCGAATAGAAGTTTTACGCTCAGTTGCAAGACTCTGGAGGACTCTACACCTTGATGTTCGTGGGACTCCAGAGGCACCAGCAGCTTCAAATATCTGTTTGCTGCTATGTAATGGTATTTTAGCAGCTGCTCTCTTGATCCGATGCATGGATCTGGCAGAAATCTTCCTCAATGTGCCTTTATCTGCACGAACCCGTCTGTGCTCTGAATCAACCACAAATTTCTTAATAGTGCGATGATCACGCTTAAGTTTTTGTGAAATATCTAATGTTTTCATACCTTGTCCAAGGCATTGAACTATTTCACTCTTTTCGGCAGCAGAGAGATGCTTTTTCTTCCCCATATTGCATGAAAATGGTGCTCTGTTTAATAATGTGAAACACCCTCCTTTAGTAGTTTTTCCTTAAATTGGGCTCACCTGGCAATCTAATTATCACAGGTGTCCGAGATTGTTTTCAATGATCAAAAGAGCCCTGAGACACAATGCCATCCATGAGTTAAATTAAAAAAAACAAAATATTTAATCTTTGTGACACTTAAATAGAATTTGCATAATAATTTGGAACAGGGTGTATGTTGTGACCTGTAACTACTGAAATAAAATCCTAGACATACAATGTACTTTGCAAATCGGGACAAATCTATTTGTTTTTAATTACTTTTCTTATGCTGCCCTAATTATGCATACATTAGTATTGGCAAAACTGTGGAAAAAAAATGTTAATTAAATTTTTTTCTGCATTTTTTTGTATTGTTTTTATAATGAGAATTTATAAAGGTATTCATCACGTCAAATTAAACCCCGTTTTATCTTTTAATATACGGAATATGTAATGGTAAAGAATACGAGTTGGTGCAATAAATGTGAGATATGCAAGTTGAACACAAACTTCAAAAAACTCAATAAATTGCTCGTTCACAAATGGCGCCCGTTTCCCACAATATCCGTTCATGTTTAAGAGTACTAGTTCTTGTTGATGTTGGTCTAAATATTAATTTGCATCTTTTATTTTTAAAAGTTACGTTTAGGATTTCCTTGACAGATGGAATAGTAATTGCTTTCCAATAGTTAGAGATTGCTGACGTGGCTGCTATTAAAGGGACTCTCTAGTACCAGGAAGACATATTGTTTTCCTGGCACTGCAGGTCCCCTCTCCCTCCCATCCCATTTTTACTCCAAATCAGTCACTTACCAAAGGCAGCGACGATGTCCCTCGGCGCTGCTTCTGGGTCCGCCCACGCTCCTCCCCCTCATCACGTCATCCGGCGGGGTAGACCGAACACGCCCGCCGGTGGGGGAGACCTAATGCGCATGCGCGGCAAATGCCGCGCACCCGCATTAGACCTCTCCATAGGAAATGACAAAAACAAGAATAATAGGTTGCGCTACGTAAATATCAAATGAAAAAGGGATAAATATGGCAAAACACTTTAAAACGTAAAAGAGGAATAATATGTATAAAGAAAAGGGGATTTAATAAATATATATAACAAATATATATATAAAAAAAAGATAGTCCAAATTCTTGATATAATTGAAAAAGTTCAAATGAGTGGATGATAGTGACAGTACTTGGTATATTTCTCTTTCAGGTTCCGGTAAGTATTTGGAGGTAGAAAGTCCAATAAGAGATTGAATCTTCTAATCTTTAGAGGAGTCTTGATTCAGAGATGAACATGGAAAATATAAGCAACAAAGACGATCCAATAGTGTAGACTTTGCCAGTTGATAAAGCCCTGTGTGGCGAAACGCGTTTTGGCTATTTTATATATTTTTTTATTGTACTAATAAAGGAATAGTGGCTTTTTTACATCAATTTTGCCATATACCTTTTTATCTTATTTTTAAACAAATTTTGTTTTAAAAATATTTCCTGTCACCTGGTCATTCACCAACTTGGAATCTACCCACGACCAAGAATCCTTGGTGGGGATTGTACCACCTATGCGAATATACTGAGCAGTTTATCCTGCTCATTCGAATGTGAGTATTTTTATTCCTTTTATTTCACTTTATTTCATTTTGATTCAGTGAGCACTATATTCTGCTTTTATCTCCTTTTTATTACCGAGGAATTACCTTCACCTATATCCTACCAGTGGGGGATAAACGCCACTGAACGCCCAACATACTAGAGCAAGTTCATGCTCTAAGATAGGTGAGTGTACTACCTACCTATTATTATTATTTATCACAGACAGTCTACACTATTGGATCGTCTTTGTTGCTTATATTTTCCATGTTCATCTCTGAATCAAGACTCCTCTAAAGATTAGAAGATTCAATCTCTTATTGGACTTTCTACCTCCAAATACTTACCGGAACCTGAAAGAGAAATATACCAAGTACTGTCACTATCATCCACTCATTTGAACTTTTTAAATTATATCAAGAATTTGGACTATCTTTTTTTATATATATATTTGTTATATATATTTATTAAATCCCCTTTTCTTTATATATATTATTCCTCTTTTACGTTTTAAAGTGTTTTGCCATATTTATCCCTTTTTCATTTGATATTTACGTAGCGCAACCTATTATTCTTGTTTTTGTCATTTCTCTTTTGAGGACTTCAGAGGGAACCTCATACCTATAGGCTGCAGCTTTCCACTTGATCACATCACACAGCGCTGATCCATTTTCTACCTGTCTCTCCATAGGAAAGCATTGAAAATGCTTTCAATGCTTTCCTATGGGGATTTTAGCAACGCTGGAGGTCCTCACACAGCGCATTTTCGCTGGAGGTCCCCAACCTGTGCTAGAATCCCGGAAGTGCCCTCTAGTGGCATTCTAGTAGACAGCCACTAGAGGAGAAGTTAACCCTGCAAGGTAATTATTGTAGTTTATAAAAACTGCAATAATTACAGTTGCAGGGTTATGGGTAGTGAGAGTTGGCACCCAGACCACTCCAATGGGCAGAAGTGGTCTGGGTGCCTGGAGTGTCCCTTTAATAAATGACTCCGCGCAATGGATTCATTTTTTGTTCCGTTTGGAGGAAGTTTTTTGAATACACAAATGTCTGGGGTCAACAGTGTTGATAATTTTGTGAAGTGATTTCCAATATTCCTTCATTTTAGGGCATGTCCAAAAAATATGGCCTAATGATCCCACTTGTACACATTGTCTCCAACATTCATTGGAATTGGATATGTTAAATTTGTGAAGTTTTGAAGGGTTAAGGTACCATCAGCTTAATAATTTGTAATGGGATTCAAGGTGGGAAACGCACTGTGTCACTCCTTTTAATGATAACATAAAATTGTGCCAATCATTCAATTCCGATGCAAAAGTCAGATTTAAATCTCTCTCCCATTGTAGCATGAAATCTGATTTTTCAACATGATTATCTTCAAAAATGGAATAAAACATGATAGATGTTTCATCCCTGGATCTGCAAAGTAAATCTTTCTATAGGTGTCATAGCTATTGTTCTTTGATTCAGATGCAGGTTGGAAATGCCAAATCGTGAGCTGATCAATTCTATTGATCATTCTATTTTTTTTTGTGCATTGGGGCATCTGAATCCTCTAAATTCAAATTTTCTTTGAGTTGATTAGAGGGTATAAACTTCTTAATTTTAATGTGATTGACTTGTCCATTTCTGACACCAGGTATACAGGTGCAGCATTGGTTCTTAAGGGGTTAATGTTTATTGCTTTGCATTGTGAAATATCTCTGAGCAAAAAAAATATTATGCTCACAGCTCAACATTTAGTTGTGTTCAGTGACTGAATATAAATGGTGTGCATTTTTTTCTATAATTTTATTATAGAGGTTAAAATATAACATTTGCTATGTGGACGGTAAGTACAAAAAGTAAACAGAGTTGCGAGAATGTCTCAAAACAAGCAGAACAGGTTAAACCAAATTCCAAAGTAACATTAAGGAAGAATTATTAGGGAGGGAATACATGGGGCGATAGCCCTGGCTGTATATAAAGGCTGCCCTCGGTAACCCTGGGTACATAAGAGATCAGACACTATTAAGGTAAGTGCGGTTTTTATATTGTATATATAACAAGGGAGACCATACTTTATTAAAGAATAATTATTTGTATAGCCCCCCCCCCTCTCTCAGACCCTTAAAAGGTCCCTAAACATGGTGATTCACTACAGAATGAATTATTACTTTAAAGTACATTTTTACTCCAAATAGCCAAACAAAAAAACAGATATTCCCAACCTACTCATTTTGCCTGAAATTAAAAATGTACTTTGATTTCACACTTTAATTCAGGCATTACAGTGAGACTGTAAAAAGTGATAAAAGTGAAGGATACAGATGATTAAATGGTGAGCACTAGCTGTGAATGTCCAAATTGGCCGCATTGCAGTAGTGTTGGCAGTGGTGTTAACATTCATTTAAAAAAAAAACAGTCAATGGATTGTAAGTTCATGGGCTATCTGGCAAAGTACTCTGTATAAAATATCTTCCAGGGTTAGACCTCCGCTCATGGGAAGAGCCCTCTTTACCTTTTGTATTGATTGAACTCTCTCTAAAGTATCAATATCCTTCTGAAGATACAATACTGGAGACCGTATCTCCAGAAGGATATTGATACTTTAGAGAGAGTTCAGAGAAGGGCTACTAAACTGGTTCATGGATTGCAGGATAAAACTTACCAGGAAGGGTTAAAGGATCTTAACATGCATAGCTTGGAGGAAAGACGAGATGCGGCATATGATAGAAACATTTAAATACATAAAGGGAATCAACACAGTAAAAGAGGAGACAATATTTAAAAGAAGAAAAACTACCACAACAAGAGGACATAGTCTTAAATTAGAGGGACAAAGGTTTAAAAATATCAGGAAGTATTACTTTACTGAGAGGGTAGTGGATGCATGGAATAGCCTTCCAGCTGAAGTGGTAGAGGTTAACACAGTGAAGGAGTTTAAGCATGCGTGGGATAGGCATAAGGCCATCCTAACTATAAGATAAGGCCAGGGACTAATGAAAGTATTTACAAAATTGGGCAGACTAGATGGGCCGAATGGTTCTAATCTGCCGTCACATTCTATGTTTCTATCTGTTTATATTGTACTGTCTTTTTTACAGTTGTACAGCGCTGCAGAATATGTTGTGCTTTATAAAGACCAGTAATAAATAAATAATACAGTGGAGCAGTGGTGCTGGCAGCGGTGTTTATGATTATTATTATTAATATTATGATAGTGTTGGCAGTACTTCACTGGTATTAGTATACGTTTAGTGGTGTTGGCAGTGGTGCAGTGGATTTGGTTGTAAGACAGTAGTGATGGCAGTGGTGTAGTAGATTTGGTTGTAAGAGAGTAGTGTTACCAGTTTGTGCAGTAAAGTTGACATTCGTGCAGTAGAGTTGGCATTCGTGCAGTGATGCAGTAGAGCTGGCATTCATGCAGTGGTGCAGTAGAGTTGGCATTCATGCAGTAGAGTTGGCATTCGTGGAGTGGTGCAGTAGAGTTGGCATTCATGCAGTGGTGCAGTAGAGTTGGCATTTGGGCAGTGGTGCAGTAGACTTGGCATTCGTGCAGTAAAGTTGGCATTCGTGCAGTAGAGTTGGCATTCGTGCAGTGGTGCAGTAGTGTTGTCAATGCAGTGGTGCAGTAGAATTGGAATTCAGGCAGTGGTGCAGTAGAGTTGGCATTCGGGCAGTGGTACAGTAGAATTGGAATTCATGCAGTGGTGCAGTAGAGTTGGTATTCAGGCAGGGTGCAGTAGAGTTGGCATTAGGGCAGTGGTGCAGTAGAGTTGGCATTTGGGCAGTAGAATTGGCATTCATGCAGTGGTGCAGTAGAGTTGGCATTCGGGAAGGATGCATTAGAGTTGGCATTTGGGAAGGGTGCATTAGAGTTGGCATTCGGGCAGTGGTGCAGTAGAGTTGGCATTCGGGCAGTGGTGCAGTAGTGTTGTTGTTAGTGCAGTGGTGTTGTTGTTAGTGCAGTGGTGTTGACAGTGCAGATAATAGTGTTAGCAGCAGTGCAGTAAAGTTAATTGCAGTGTTAGGATTTGATAGACCTTGCTGTTAGAACTGTTGAAGAATGTGTGTCTCCATAAAAAAAAAACACCACCTTTTCACTCTTTGATTTACCGTTGATCTTTTCACCTCACTAAACCCAATTATACTAATTACAGGCTGGCATAATTCCCATTCTCATACCAGGATGAAGTGTCTCATTCTTCTGTTGGCTTGTGCATCCGTGGTATGGACCCAGTCATGTGATCCTCAGCCTGGAGGTAGGAAATTCCACTTATACCGGTTTATGTTAGTAAATATACTAACATATAGCTATATGGGCCCTGATATTCACTATAGTAATGAGAGGATATAGCTATATGGACACTGATATTCACTATAGTAATGAGAGGATATAGCTATATGGACACTGATATTCACTATAGTAATGAGAGGATATAGCTATATGGACACTGATATTCACTATAGTAATGAGAGAGGATATAGCTATATGGGACACTGATATTCACTATAGTAATGAGAGAGGATATAGCTATATGGGCCCTGATATTCACTATAGTAATGAGAGGATATAGCTATATGGACACTGATATTCACTATAGTAATGAGAGGATATAGCTATATGGACACTGATATTCACTATAGTAATGAGAGAGGATATAGCTATATGGACACTGATATTCACTATAGTAATGAGAGGATATAGCTATATGGACACTGATATTCACTATAGTAATGAGAGGATATAGCTATATGGACACTGATATTCACTATAGTAATGAGAGAGGATATAGCTATATGGACACTGATATTCACTATAGTAATGAGAGGATATAGCTATATGGACACTGATATTCACTATAGTAATGAGAGGATATAGCTATATGGACACTGATATTCACTATAGTAATGAGAGAGGATATAGCTATATGGACACTGATATTCACTATAGTAATGAGAGAGGATATAGCTATATGGACACTGATATTCACTATAGTAATGAGAGGATATAGCTATATGGACACTGATATTCACTATAGTAATGAGAGGATATAGCTATATGGACACTGATATTCACTATAGTAATGAGAGAGGATATAGCTATATGGGACACTGATATTCACTATAGTAATGAGAGAGGATATAGCTATATGGGACACTGATATTCACTATAGTAATGAGAGGATATAGCTATATGGACACTGATATTCACTATAGTAATGAGAGAGGATATAGCTATATGGACACTGATATTCACTATAGTAATGAGAGGATATAGCTATATGGACACTGATATTCACTATAGTAATGAGAGGATATAGCTATATGGACACTGATATTCACTATAGTAATGAGAGAGGATATAGCTATATGGGACACTGATATTCACTATAGTAATGAGAGAGGATATAGCTATATGGGCCCTGATATTCACTATAGTAATGAGAGGATATAGCTATATGGACACTGATATTCACTATAGTAATGAGAGAGGATATAGCTATATGGGCCCTGATATTCACTATAGTAATGAGAGGATATAGCTATATGGACACTGATATTCACTATAGTAATGTGAGAGGATATAGCTATATGGGACACTGATATTCACTATAGTAATGAGAGGATATAGCTATATGGGACACTGATATTCACTATAGTAATGTGAGAGGATATAGCTATATGGGACACTGATATTCACTGTAGTAATGAGAGGATATAGCTATATGGGACACTGATATTCACTATAGTAATGAGAGAGGATATAGCTATATGGGACACTGATATTCACTATAGTAATGAGAGGATATAGCTACAAGGACACTGATATTCACTATAGTAATGAGAAAGGATATTGCTATATGGGCCCTGATATTCACTATAGTAATGAGAAGATATAGCTATATGGGACACTGATATTCACTATAGTAATGTGAGAGGATATAGCTATATAGGACACTGATATTCATTATAGTAATGTGAGAGGATATAGCTATAAGGACACTGATATTCACTATAGTAATGTGAGAGGATATAGCTATATGGGACACTGATATTCACTATAGTAATGAGAGAGGATATAGTTTTATGAGCCCTGATATTCACTATAGTAATGTGAGAGGATATAGCTATATGGGACACTGATATTCACTATAGTAATGAGAGAGGATATAGTTTTATGAGCCCTGATATTCACTATAGTAATGAGAGAGGATATAGCTATATAGGACACTGATATTCACTATAGTAATGAGAGAGGATATAGCTATATGGGACACTGATATTCACTATAGTAATGAGAGGATATAGCTATATGGGACACTGATATTCACTATAGTAATGAGAGGATATAGCTATATGGGACACTGATATTCACTATAGTAATGAGAGAGGATATAGCTATATGGGACACTGATATTCACTATAGTAATGAGAGAGGATATAGCTATATGGGACACTGATATTCACTATAGTAATGTGAGAGGATATAGCTATATGGGACACTGATATTCACTATAGTGATGAGAGAAGATATAGCTCTATGGGCCCTGATATTCACTATAGTAATGAGAGAGGATATAGCTCTATGGGCCCTGATATTCACTAGTAATGAGAGGATATAGCTATATGGGACACTGATATTCACTATAGTAATGTGAGAGGATATAGCTATAAGGACACTGATATTCACTATAGTAATGAGAGGATATAGCTATATGGGACACTGATATTCACTATAGTAATGTGAGAGGATATAGCTATAAGGACACTGATATTCACTATAGTAATGTGAGAGGATATAGCTATATGGGACACTGATATTCACTATAGTGATGAGAGAGTATATAGCTATATGGGACACTGGTATTCACTATAGTAATGAGAGAAGATATAGCTCTATGGGCCCTGATATTCACTATAGTAATGAGAGAGGATATAGCTATATGGGCCATGATATTCACTATAGTAATGAGAGAGGATATAGCTATATGGGACACTGATATTCACTATAGTAATGTGAGGATATAGCTATATGGGACACTGATATTCACTATAGTAATGAGAGAGGATATAGCTATATGGACACTGATATTCACTATAGTAATGTGAGAGGATATAGCTATATGGGACACTGATATTCACTATAGTAATGTGAGAGGATATAGCTATATTGGACACTGATATTCACTATAGTAATGAGAGAGGATATAGCTATATGGGACACTGATATTCACTATAGTAATGTTAGTGGATATATCTATATGGGCTCTGATATTCACTATAGTAATGTGAGAGGATATAGCTATATGGGACACTGATATTCACTATAGTAATGAGAGAGGATATAGCTATATGGGACACTGATATTCACTATAGTAATGAGAGAGGATATAGCTATATGGGACACTGATATTCACTATAGTAATGTGAGAGGATATAGCTATATGGGACACTGATATTCACTATAGTAATGAGAGAGGATATAGCTATATGGGACACTGATATTCACTATAGATATTCACTATAGAGAGAGGATATAGCTATATGGGACACTGATATTCACTATAGTAATGTGAGAGGATATAGCTATATGGGACACTGATATTCACTATAGTAATGAGAGGATATAGCTATATGGGACACTGATATTCACTATAGTAATGTGAGAGGATATAGCTATATGGGACACTGATATTCACTATAGTAATGAGAGAGGATATAGCTATATGGGACACTGATATTCACTATAGTAATGAGAGAGGATATAGCTATATGGGACACTGATATTCACTATAGTAATGAGAGAGGTTATAGCTATATGAACACTGATATTCACTATAGTAATGAGAGAGGATATAGCTATATGAACACTGATATTCACTATAGTAATGAGAAGATATAGCTATATGGGACACTGATATTCACTATAGTAATGAGAGGATATAGCTATATGGGCCCCGATATTCACTATAGTAATGAGAGAGGATAGAGCTATATGGACACTAATATTCACAATAGTAATGTGAGAGGATATAGTTATATGGTACACTAATATTCACTATAGTAATGAAAGAGGATGTAGCTATATGGGACACTGATATTCACTATAGTAATGAGAGGCAGCAGAGCTATCACAAATAATTAATATGGATTAATGGCCGTTGTATTTAACTATAATCAGATTGTTAGTTTAATCATAGTGGTCTCAGTAGATTAAATGGGGTGGAAGCCAGATTGAAGATGGTCGAGGAGAGAGTTTGAACTGAGAAAGCAAGTCAAACAGGTAACGACAAGCCTTTCTAGAAGCTTTGCGGAGAAGTGGAGCTGAGATAATAATCCTAATAATGGGTTCTCCTGATTCACTCCTGATTAACCTGTTGGCCCACGGATACCTAGGTCTGAGCAGGATAGGTCGCTGTGAGCTTTGACAGGCAGCTAGTTGGGAAAAGAAACAAGTTCACATGGACATCATATCTGTATGCCAAATGAAGTGCTCTCGTTTATTAAGCAAAAAGACATGAGTCTAATAGACAGTTACATACACTTCCACTACATCTGTCAATTACTCATTTAAAGTGGCAGGTCTGCCAAAATGTTTAAAAGAACATAACACAGATCTAATTTAAAGGAACATAACACATTTAAAGAAACCATAGCACAAAATATTAACATACATATAGCTTGATGGTTATACCCTAGTGTGGAGAAGGAGGTATATATCTATTTGTTTTAAGTGTGATTATTCTCTGTCTAGCAATACACATTATCCTCCAATCACATGGCACAAAAGGTCTATATTGACCCCTCACTTCATGACACATGGGGCAAAGGTAGACTGCAGAATCCAGGCCACGATAGGCCATTGGCAATGCTGGTAAATGCCTGGTGGGCCATGCTGATCAGAGGATCTCCTGGGCAGGCGCCTTCTAGTCTCCCTTACTGACCATTAAATTCTAATGCCTATTGCAGACCAAGTTCGCTGCTCCTTCTAGTGTATCAGAGCATTGCCACGGGTTACCATGGCAATGTTCTGATATTTTACCCAGGGCTGCCTGGAAGGCACAGACAAGGTGCCTCTCCCAATCAGAGTACAACATTTCCTCTTCCCTGCCCCAATGTAAACTACAGCCCCTATCACCTCCACAAATACACTTCAGCTCATATTCCCCATACATACATTCAAGCCCCTATCTCACCTACATCACACAGCCCCTATAACTCCCACACATACACTACATCTCATTTACCCTCCAAACACTACAGACTCTATTCCCCTTCACACCCTACACCTTTTATCTTCACACACTACAGCCTCATTACACAAACTACACCACTACCTACCCTCTCCACACACACTACACTGAAAATACCCCCATTCCCAGACATATATTTTCACAGACAAGCTCCCAACCACATTCAACCCCACAAGCAAGATCATCACACACATGCAGCCCCACAAACAGACAATTCCACAAGTAACCTCCCCACACACACTACTTCAAAAGCAGCCTACACATATACACACACATAAGACCACAGCTGGTCTACCACACCGACAATATATACAACCTAACAAGCTTCCAAATGCATACAAAACAACACAGACACACACATACACTTCTTCTGTCCTTATGTATTCCATTTGTGGGGACACCAGAAACTATTTTCCAGCATACACAGAACAATTATCTCAGAATTTTCCTATGCAAGAGGTCTTCATCAGGACTCTGTGCATGGGTCACACACAAGGGCCATTAAACTGACGTGCCCATTTTGGGAGGTTTGACTGTCAATGTTGATAGTACAACATGTGCTGTATCTGGGCCTGGGTCCTCCTGTTGAGCTGCTTAGTCTGTAAATGCCCACGTCAATTATTGCCCCAGTCCAGCACTTGGAGATATGCAGCTTGACATGCTCAGACAGGTACCCTTAGCAATGGACACTGTTTTTAAAACAGCTTTTATGAAACAAAAGCATAGGTTATGACCCAAAAGGACCAGTGATCAGAAACGGCTATGGATGGTGCAGTTTTAACCTTTTAGGTCTCATCAGCATGGTGCTGGTTCTGGCCTGGAAGTTAAAGTCTCTCTGTGAGCATATAGCTAGGTGTCAAATAATACCAGGTGAGACCAAACACCATAATACTCCCCACAATTATATGCAGATTGAAAAACTATTGTTGTGTATCATCTACAATTCTTAAGTTGGACTTTGCGAAGTTTGGTGTCAGCCTTAGACACCAAACTACCAGAACTGGAGTCGTGCTGAAGAAACCCAAAAGGTTTCTGTTATATGGTCCTTTTCTCAGAACTGCTGTGCCAAAAGTGGACTTTCCAAAGTCCATCTTGAGATATGCAGGTTATGCACTAGATTCATTTTCCTATCTGCATCAAGGTGTGCCTCATCAGAGTATGAAATAGAATTGACCTAGAATGTGCCATTACTTTGTAATTCCAGGTAGTTTTACAAACTACTGTTTATTGTTTTCTCTTGGACACTAAATCCTCCCCTGGTTTAGGTATGTCTGCTTTGTTGTATTTGTAAACCATTAACCACCTTGTGTTTTTCTTTCAGCTGTAAACTTGGCACGATCTGGTGTTGCAAGTCAAAGTTCTGTATTTCCACTAAATCCACCACCAGATGCCAGTACAGCCATTGATGGCAATTTTGAAACAAATTACTATAAGCACCCCTGTGCTCACACACAAAATGATAAGGACCCCTGGTGGAAGCTGGACCTGGGAAAGAGTGTAAACATAGATTCAGTCTTTATAACGAACCGTCAGGATTGCTGCCAAGAACGTCTAAAAGGAGCCCAAGTTAAAGTTGGAAATTCTCCTGATGGCAACAACCCAGTGTAAGTCCTGATTAAATCTCATGTTGTTGCTGGAAGGATAAGAATCTCTATAAATAGTTTGAGACTTATTTTAGGGCTGCTGATCTTCTTGTGAGCTCACATTACTTTATCTCTGCTTGTTCTTAGGATTTTATGTCTCTTCTACTCTAGAGTTTTCACATGTCGATTCATTTGTAAGTGAAGAATAAAGACACTGTCTCTCTCTCTAGATTTTTTTACTAATTAGAGTTCTGCTTAGGCTGGGAAGTAGTTATCAAGATTGATATGGCACATAGCTCTATACCTAAAAAAAAAATATATATATACAGTTGTGCTTTAATGTTTGCATACAGGGCCGGACTGGCCCACCGGGATACCGGGAAATTTCCCGGTGGGCCGTCGTCACCTGGGGCCGGGCAGACAGCCGGCTCACCTGCGGCCGCAGAGGGAGCTCCCTTGGTGGCCGCAGGGGGAGCTGGCTGTTCTGCCTCTGCTCCCCCTCCCCAGCGCGCTAGAAAGAGACCGGGGCCAGAATATGACGTCATATTCCGGCCCCGGTCTCAGTAAGACATTGGTCCCCAGGTAGACATTGTGTGTCAGTGTGAGTGTATGTGTGTGTGTGTCTGTATCATGGTGTGTCTGTGTCATTGTGTGTGTCTGTGTGTCTCTGTCTGTCATGGTGTGTGCGTCTGTGTCATGGTGTGTGTCTGTGTGTCTCTGTCATGGTGTGTGCATCTGTGTCATGGTGTGTGTGTGTCTGTCTGTGTCATGCAATGTGTGTCTGTGTCATGGTGTGTGTGTCTCTGACTGTCATGGTGTGTGCGTCTGTCTGTGTCATGGTGTGTGTGTTTGTCATGGTGTGTGTCTGTCTCTGTCATGTAATGTGTGTCTGTGTCACGGTGTGTGTGTGTCTGTGTCACGATCTCTCTGTGTCGTGGTGTGTGTCTGTGTGTCATGGTGTGTCTGTCTGTGTCGTGTGTGTCTGTGTCACAGTCTGTGTTATGGTGTGTGTGTCAAGTTGTGTGTGTCTTTTTTAAGGTGTGTCTGTCATGGTATGTGTGTGTCTCTGTCATGGTGTGTGTGTGTCTGTCTGTGTCATGGTGTGTCTGTCTGTCATGGTGTGTCTGTGTTTCTGTCTGTGTCACGGTGTGTGTCTGTCATGGTATGTGTGTGTGTATGTGTGTTTTTACTCACCTTTTTTTCCCCCACGTCGTGCTGGTCTCCCCTCAACTGGCCCTGCCTCTACGGCTGAGATCATCAAGCTTGATGATCTCAGCCAATCCGCACTGACACAGGAAGCACCTCTAGTGACCGTCTGAGTGTCTGTCACTAGGAAGCAATGTAAACACTGCCTTTTCTCTAAAAAGTCAGTGTTTACATTGAAAAGCCTGCAGGGACAGACTGTAGACACCAGAGCCACTACATTAAGCTGTGTGTGTGTGCGCGCGCCTGCTAGTGAGTGGGCTTGCTTGTGTGTGTGTGTGCCTGCTACTGAGTGAGCTTGTGTTTTTATTTTAATGACCTTATTTATATCAGTGAGATTGTTTGTCTATGAGGCTGTGTATCAATCAGCTTGTGTCAGTGAGATTGTCTGTGTCTGCATGTGAGTATGCTTACTGTATAATTAAAGATTTTACTCTGAAAGAACCAATATTTTATATTGGAAAAAGATATATATATATATATATATATATATATATATATATATATATATATATATATATATATATATATATATATATATATATATATATATATATAATCTATCTCAATCATCTAGGGTGGCAAGACATAGCCTTACATATTACATGCGACAATATATGGCGCAATGACTTATGGGGCTGGCATAGATTTTTTTTCCAGGGCTGCCTTGGAATCCCCAGTCCGGCCCTGTTTGCATACCCTTGGTGAATTGATGATAAATGTACCATTTTTAAAGAAAACATGAGTGAGAAGCCAAAATGCATTTCTTTTATTTCTTATGAGATTCATATTCAATTGTAGCTTATAACAGAATGGCACAATCATAAAACAAAATATGACAACAAAGAAAAAAATGAAATGACCCCTGTGACGAACTGGACCTCGTCACGGGTTCTTGGAGGGGCATACTTGCCAGCCTCTTACCCTATGACTATGGCCCCTGTATTAAACTATATCTGAAAACACTATTTGTGCCTGTTGGGACTGGTAACAGGAACCATTCAAACTTTCAAAGTGGCACTTCAAACTCCCGAAGCCATTCGAAGTGCCATTTGACCATGTGGCGGTGGCCATCTTATGCCGCGAGTACAATGAGCGGTATTTGGTCGTCGAGTTCATGGAACTGAAATCAGACACTTGACGGTGCGAACACTGCTAAAACTTCCTTCCATGGATGTTCGGCTATTCGAACGGGAGTAGAATGGCGTTCAGTAAAAAGACACTCACGAACAAGAGACATATAATGACTTTATCCACGAACGGCTACATTAGTTATTTCGAACTGTACTTTGAATCCCCGAATTAGGCCGGCGGCACAGCCTAAATCTCTGGAACTGTTTTGGGCATGGAACCATGTGTGCGGCCGGTCAAAATATGACTTCCATGGAATTCTTGAAACCCTGAACTGATCTGGGTTATTTTTGTATATGTTGGTCACCCAGATCAAGGCTATCAGGGGATGTGACAATTGTGGGGATATCATGTGTATTTGGGGTATTTTGTAAACTATGGTTTTTTTCTGCCTGGATATAATTGAAATGATAAAGTTTCTTACCCAATTATCTACCAGGCAGAGGGGAGGGATTGTATGTTTGCTATGGAAGTGTCGTGCATTTAATCACTGTTCTTATTGGTTATTCAGTTTGTGTCCCTGTCCACAACAAGGTCGGCGTACCCAACAAGGTGGGCGTACCCTTTGCCTGGGGATTGTCATAAAAGGCCAGTGTGGCACCATTATTCAGCTATACCACTAGCTCTTATAAGAGCTTAACAGCTATACTCTCCTGGAGGAGAGGCCTTCCCACTGAGTCCCTGGATCCAGGAGTTTGGTCCAGGGTGGGAAGGGAAGGAGAGACCCCAACCAAGCTGCGGCAGTTCTTGGGGTCTACAGTGCTTATGGTGTTCGGTACTGTGATTATGGTCTTCAGCATCAGCTCGGAAGCATCGATTGGTGGAGGTACCCAGTCGGGGTGCCAGGTGGTCCGTCACAACCCCTGTTCAAAAGTCTGCATACCCTTAGTTCTTAATACTGTGTATTGCCCCCTTCATCATCAATGACAGTGTGCAGTCTTTTGTAATTGTTGTCTATGAGGCCCCTAATTCTTGCAGGTGGTATAGTTGCCATTCGTCTTTGCAAAATGCCTCCAGGTCATGCAAAGTCTTTGGTTGTCTTGCATGTTTGAGATGTCCCTAGAGTGGTTCAATGATATTAAGGTCAGGTGACTGTAATGGTCACTCTAGAACCTTCACCCTTTTCTGCTGTAACCACTGGAGGGTCAACTTGGCCTTGTGCTTAGCATCATTGTCATGCTGGAAAGTCCAAGAGTGTCCCATGTGCAGCCTTCGTGCAGAAGAATGTAAATTGTCTGCCAATATTTTCTGATAACATGCTGCATTCATCTTGCCATCCGTTTTCACAAGATTCCCCGTGCCTTTAGAGCTCACACCCCCCAAAACATCAGTAGGCCACCACCATGCTTCACAGTGGGGATGGTATTATTTTCATTATAGGCCTTGTTGACCCCTCTCCAAACATAGTGCTTATGGATGTGATCATAAAGCTTTATTTTGGTTTCGTCACTCCAAATTAGATTGTGCCAGAAGCTGTGAGGCATATCAAGGTGCTGTTGGCATATTGTGACTGGGCTTTTTGTGGCATTGGCACAGTAAAGACTTCTTTCTGGCAACTCGACCATGCAGCTCATTTTTGTTCAAGTATCATCGTATTGTGCTCCTTGAAACAACCACACCATCTTTTTCTAGAGCAGCCTGTATTTCCACCTGTTGGGTATTTCGTTGTATCCCGAACAATTCTTCTAGCAGTTGTGTCTGATATCTTTCTTGGTCTATCTGACCTTGACTTGGTGTCAAGAGATCCCAGAATTTTCCACTTCTTAATAAGTGATTGAACAGTACTCACTGGCATTTTCAAGGCTTTGGATATCTTTTTATATCCATTTCCATCTTTATAAAATTCCATTACCTTGTTACTCGGGTCTTTTGACAGTTCTTTTCTGTTCCCCATGGCTCAGTATCAAGCCTCCTCAGTGCATCCACGTGAAAACTAACAAACTCATTGACTATTTATACACAGAATCTAATTGCAATTTAAAAAGCCACAGGTGTGGAAAAATAACCTTTAATTGACATTTAACCTGTGTGTGTCACCTTGTGTGTCTGTAACAAGGCCAATCATTCAAGGGTGTGTAAACTTTTGATTGGGGCCCTTTGGGTGATTTCTGTTATCATTATGATTTAGAAAGGAGCCAAATAATTATGTGATAATAAATGGCTTCATATGATCACTATCCTTCAATAAAACACTTTTTTTTACATGATTAGTCATATTTTCAAAGTCATTGGTAACATTTCAAAATTTCTGCCAGAGTATGCAAATTTTTGAGTACAACTGTATATACATATAATAGTTCAAAATGTTAAGACCTACATAGCAGGAAGTATAAATGCACTCACAAAATGTCCACAGAATGTAATAGAAGCAATTAGAAAGCCTACAACCTTGGGCTGCTGCCTGTGTAGGTCCCTGGGAACCCCCTCAATATCAGAGCATTGCATTCTGTCTACATCTGGTGAATGTATTTATATCTGTATGATATATATTTATTTATAACATATTGCCCTATTGTATGTATGTATGTGTATATATATATATTATATATATTTTTTTTTAGGAAATAGTTGACCCTGGGCAGCCAATGCTGGCCCATTCCTCGTCAATGCACATGCCGACCATATCTCATTATTATTTTTTCCTTTTCTTTTAAATTTGAAAGATTTAGCAAATACTATCATAATCCAGTTCAGACAAGGCACAGTCAAGGCACACATTGCTAAAGAAGGAGAAACAGAAACATTGTGTCATGTCTGCTCTTCCCTGTATGCTCTCTATGCTGACTGCCAGGTGTTAGAGGTTATAACAATGATTGACAGAGAGCTAACATGGAGGCGTAAAGGAGTAAATGCTCTCTTTATATATCATTCTGATGTTTTTTTTTCTCCTGTAGATGTGCCACCATCAATGATGTGTCAAAAGTTAAAATCCCAGTTTGCTGCAATGGATTGGAGGGTCGATACGTCACTGTGACCATCCCTGGCCGTTCAGAGTATCTATCACTGTGCGAAGTGGAGGTTTATGGCAGAGAAAATAAAAAGCAGGAGCCTTCGGTGTGCTGGTAGTGATATCTGGTCCCTCCTACTGCGTCATGTCGTTATAGGACACACATGCATCAATAAAAGTGGTCCGAAAAATATGGAATGTTAATTTTTCACATTAAAGGTCATGCAAATTTTGTAGTTTAATTTGTCATGTCCCAAATTCTTTATCCGTGGCTAATTGGTGGACATAATGCGCTTGTTAAGATCGCTGGTATGTCAGATACCCGTTCACTTCCGGTTCCTCCTGAACTGCTAAAAGCTGAGTGATTACGGGTGTTGATTCAAACGTTCTCCAGAAGACAATGCAGCATTCACATAATTTCTCCCAGTAAGCAGACACATACCCAAACATCAGTCTCAACAGGAATGATTTTATTCAGGCCAACTGGCCTTACATGCAGGTCCCCATGCAAGGGGCACTCACCCCTGGACCTGAGAGTAGACTACAGTAAAAACATACACATGATTACATTGGCTCTCAGGTCCAGGACAATCCCATACAAAATAGGTCAATCTCTCCCCTGTGTCTGGGAGATAATTGAGTCAGAACTGTATTAAACTCAATTATCTCCAGGCACAGAAAACATATATTTTCACAAAACTCTAAAAACACATTTAAACACACAAAATCCCCACATCTCCTGATTCCCCTGGCTCATAGGTAGCGTTTGTTCCAATAATTAGTGGTAACAAAACTACCGAATAGCGCTCTCCTCGCTGGTCAGCTGGTTCGTGAAGCTGACCGGTCGAGTGTCCGATTTTAGTTCCGCTGCCTCTTTTCATGCGAACAAGATGGCCGCCGTTTTCTCCAACACGTGGCATTCGGTACTTAATCGTGTGGTTTCTTTTGTAGTTAATGAGCCAGGGGGGTGGTCGGTGTTCGGTAGTTTTATCTACCGAACGAGAAAAATACAATTTAACGAACCCAACAGGGTAGTTTCTTCACAGCGCTAATATTATGAGCGTTCACTTAGTCGGTATGAGAACATTATAGCAAAGTGACATCATGAATACTGACTCACGTTACCTTTAGCTCAATCCATTTAAAGTCACTGAAAATGGGATCTTCTTAAAAATTTTATTATAAATTAAACCAGATAGCTGCCGTCAGTCCTTATACGCAGAATTAAACTCGGATGGGAAATATTACATTAAAACATATCAGTATTCATACCTATGAACAATGATTAGAAGCCCTTCAGACTGCAATGGTGGTATTGGGGTGCGGGCAGTACTTGGCCAGTGATGGTGGGAGTATGATAGTTTCCCCGATGCTTGGAATGTACTGGGTGTGACGAAGTGCCCTTCGCCACTTGTGCCTGGAGACGACTGCTTGCCCGCCTCTTGCCCTGTGACTATGGACCCTGGGAGATTTGGCCCGTTCAATTCAGAGGGATAGGAGTTATGTATTTTTGTATCCTTTTGTGTTTTACTGGGAACATGTGCTCAATGGAGTCTGCTTCTATCCCTGGATAATTGGATTACTTTCCCCATTGTCTCCAGGCTAGAGGGCTCTGTAAAACCAGTTTGGGCCAGATATCCATGCTGCCAGCCAGGCCCCAAAAGATACTTTGCTAACTTCTGAACCCCTGGTCTGATTCATGCCATTTTTTGATATGTTGTTTCCCAGAATGGATTGATTGTAAATATATATTTTTTATGTGAATGTAATGTATATTTTAGAAGTTATGAATATGCTGTTAAAACTGTATTATTTCTGGCCAGCAGATAATTGAGCTTTGTGTATTGTAGAAACTCAATTATCTAGCCTGGCCCAGAGGAGGAGTTTTGTGTTGCATAAATTGTGAGTTCTGTGTGCCAGTAAATCAGTCTTGTTCCAGCATTAAGCCTTGGCTCATGTTTGGGGGATTGGAGAAATACACTCTGGGATTGCTATAATCACTATACTCCCCAGGGTATGATCACTAAGTTCTGCTAAGAGCTTGTTCCTGCTCTCTGGGGAAAGAGAGGTTCACCCACTGGAAGCTGGATCCTGGCCTTGGGTCCAGGGTGGGTGGAGACAGCAGAGACCCCGGCGCAGTTGCATCGCTGGAAGTGGGTTCTGCAGTGCTGATGGTGTCGGTTGGAGTGCTTGGAGTCCTCAGCGAGCACTAGGAGCATCGATTGGCGGAGGTACTCAGTCGGAGTGCCAGCGGTCCGTCACACTGGGTGTTTAGTATTCATAACTAGGGACACAGTGGGATTGGAAGCCCTTCAGACTGCAATGATGTTATTGGGGTGCGGGCAGTACTTGGCCAGTGATGGTGGGAGTATGATAGTTTTAGGCACTGAGGCTAGTGGTGTTGTGGAGAGATGCACTGAGGCTAGTGGTGTTGTGGAAAGATGCACTGAGGCTAGTGGTGTTATGGAGACCGGCTTGGAGACTATGGTGAGGCCTAATAGAAAGCAGTTGTTGTTGGGGGATTCCATTATAAGAGGTGTGGAGATGGACAATGGTGGTCTTGTGAGGTGTCTTCCCGGAGCTACTGCTCACAGAGACAGGAAACGTATCTGTAATATTGTTAAGCAAGCAAAGCAGGAAGGGGAATTGGATGTACTTGTCCATCTAGGGACAAATGACTTGGCTTGCAATGAGGTTTCAGAGGTTAAGGAGGTTTTTAGTGTTTTTGCCAATGATATACGGCAGGTTGCTTCCACATTGTCATTCTCTGAAGTTCTGCCTGTGCATAACACTCAGAACGACAGGCGGACGAGTATTAGGGACTTTAATTTGTGGCTTGGTGAATGGTGTTGGGAGCAAGGATTTGGCTTTATTTCTCATGGTAGCTCTGTTTGGAATGGAGATAAGCTGTACAAAAAAGATGGTTTGCATCTGTGACGAGACCAATCTCGCCACATTGCATTGGAGAAGCCTGGTTGCTCGCCTGCTGCCTTTGGACTATGGCCCCCTTTTAAAAGACTTTATTTTTGCCTGCAGAAAAGCTGTATTTGTGCTTTTCTGCCTGGGGTTCGGTAGATTTGTTTGAATGTGTTATACCCCAGATAGGAATCCCATGGAGCCCATTCGTATGAAACTGACTGTAAAGACTTTGGCTCCATGCGATTAAACTGTATTTGTGTGGTCCGAGCGCCATTCACTTAATAATGTGCGCTCAGACCGGAGCTATCTGGGGATATGTGAAATGTCTGTGTGTTATGTGTAAAATGTGACTTTATGTATTTTAAAGTGTTTTGTGTCTTTTGCAACCATGTGCTTAATGGAGTCTTGTGTCTGTCCTGGGAGATAATTGAATTACTTATCTCCAGGATAGAAGACTCTGAAACTGGTTTGGGCCAGAAAGCCATGCTTCATTTAGTCACAAAGGACTTTCCCTTAACTTTTGAACCCCTGGTCTGATACATGCCATTTTTGAATATGTTCCCCTGAATGGATTGATTGTGAATATGTAATTTTATGTGAATGTGATGTATGGTTTTGGAGTTATGAAAGTTGGGTAGAAAGTATGTTTAACTGTATGTATAATTGAGTTTCCTCTCAGGATAAGGGGAGGGAATATGTGGGATGTAACTGTGATGTGATTGGTTGTTTTATACCTCCCTGTGGGCGGTCCTGTATTTGCAAGACTGTAATAAAACCAGGCTGGGTGTGCCAGCACCTCAGACCACTGCTTGACCCTCAACACGGAGCCTTGTCTCGTTCTTGGGGGGATTCACTGTATGCTGTTAGAGACTGATTGCCAGGAGTGTAAGCTGCTTGGGAGCTTTTCCTGTTCGTCTGCTAGCAGCTATTTGGGAGGTTCCAGTTCGGGAGTTGGAGTGCTATTTTGTATCCAGTTCGGAGTTTGGTGTTCTGCAGCAGCTGTGCCTGTATCTCTGGAAAGGGGGCCGATCGCCTAAACGGTTTTTACCCCTTGTGTCCGCTACAGCATCTTTCTCAAAAGGGAACAAATGTTCTCAGTGAGCAGTTCAGAGGTTTTGATAGGATGTATTTAAACTAGGAGGGGGGGGCAAAAGGGTGATAAAACATCAATCCAATTGTCCCCCAAAACAAGGACAGAAGGTGCCTGTAGCAAGTGTGTTAAAAATGATAAGCTTAGAGTCATGTCTACAAATGCTCGCAGTTTAGGGAATAAGATCCATGAACTTGTGGCAATAATGGCAACTGATAGTGTAGATTTAGTCGCTGTTACTGAGACATGGTACAATGAGAAAATGACTGGGACATAGCAATACCAGGGTACTCTTTTATATAGGAAAGATAGGGAAGGCAAGAAAGGGGGAGGGGTGGCCTTGTATGTGAAGGATAGCATAAAATCTAGCCTAATAAAAGTTAGTGAGGCAAACATAGAGTCCGCTTGGGTTACGTTAGAATTTGGTAATCACACAGTAACTTGTGTAGGTGTGATTTATAGGCCCCCAGGACAAATTGAAGAGTTAGATAATCTACTAGTTGAGGAAATAGCTAAAATGACAATGAAGGGGAAGTTATCATCATGGGTGACTTTAATCTTCCTGATGTAAATTGGAAAACAAAATTAGCTACTTGTGCCAGGAGCACACATATTCTAACCTCCCTACTGGGATTGTCTCTAAAACAAGTTGTTGAGTATCAGTCAGTGTGGTTTAATATAAGAACAGTGACTGAGTCACACCACACAAAAACAAAAGTTTTAGACTTTAGAAAAACAGACTTTTCTAAAATTAAAATGTGGGTAGAGGGGTCATTATCAGACTGGAGCAATTTAAATGGAGTCCAAGAGAAATGGGATTATTTAAAAGTTGCACTATTGAAGGCAACAGAAAATTGCATTAGGCTTGTCAGTAAAATCAAAAAATTCAAGAAACCACTGTGGTACTCCGCAGATGTGGCCAAAATAGTTAAAAACAAAAAGTTAGCATTTAGGAATTATAAAAAAACCAGAGTGAGGAAGACAAAATGATCTATAAGATTAGGCAGAAAGAGGCTAAGCAAGTTATAAGAGCTTCCAAATCACACACAGAAGAGAAAATAGCACAGTCAGTAAAAAAGGGGGACAAAACATTTTTTAGATACATAAATG